TGACAGTGATCGCGTGGTGGCCGCGTATGATCCATGTTTAGCTGCGATGTGCATTGTGTATTATTCTTGTATCAGGGATGGTAGCCCTGCGCGCAGCAGGCAATATGCTGACACCCCCGCCGTCCATGCCAACAAAACAATACAAAGTGCTCGTGGGCCTCACGAACATGACTCTGGACTTTGCCCCAAAGTGTACTTCGTAATTGTTTTTACAGGAATGGTGGGGGGCCCTCATGGGGCTATAGGGGGTGTATATTGATATGGAACAGTGATAAGCCCTTTCCCCGAGTGGGGGAAGGAGGGATTTTAGCAGAGAGAATACACAAGTCCACCTACGCCGAGAGGGCTGGTGGGATTCTGAGGGCTGACGTTTCTGGAGGTCTCCGGGGGCTTTTACAGGTTCCCAGAAGCCAAGCGTCGTGTTGCTGGCGAGGGAGCCGGCAAGCCTCAAGATGGCCCCAGAGACCTCCACGACGGAGACCCCGAAGACGGCCAGTGGAGACCCGAAGAGGGCCGCATCACGGCCCAGGTAGGCCCCCAAGACTGCCTCGAAGGCGCCAGACGGCCCAACAGCGCCCGAAGACAGCCCCAGAAACGCCGCAACGGGTTCCCAACAAGCTCCATACCAACCCCCGCCCACATAATAATATTATACTATACTATACTATACTATACTATACTATATTATACTATACTATACTATACTATACTATACTATACTATACTATACTATATTATACTATACTATACTATACTATACTATACTAAACTAAACTATACTATATATTATATACTATACTATACTGTACTATATTATATTATACTATACTATACTATACTATATTATACTGTACTATACTATATACTATACTATACTATACTATACTATATACTATACTATACTATATACTATATACTATATACTATATACTATATACTATATACTATATACTATATACTATATACTATATACTATATACTATATACTATATACTATACTATACTATACTATACTATACGATACTATACTATACTATATTATACGATACTATACTATACTATACTATACTATACTATACTATACTATACTATACTATACTACTACTACTACTACTGCTACTACTACTACTACTACTACTACTAATATTGATAATGATACTGATAATACATATACTACTAATAATAACGATCATATTAATAATAATAATAATAATATTAATACTAATACGAAAATAATGATAAAAAGAAAAAGGATGAGGATGAGAAAACAATAACAGCATACACAAAAAAAAACACGAACACAAAAACACACGTGTCCCAGAGAGGCCCCCAAAAGGCTCCCAAAAGGCTCCCCAAAGGCCCCCGAAAAAGGCTTCCAGGACGGCTCAGACTCGCAAGCCCCGCACACTCCGGACGTGCACCCCGCCAAGCGGGAGGGATCCGCGGACCCCTGCTCTGTGTGCGTCAGCGTGCGCCCGAGCCCGGCCCCCGTCCGGTGCCGCCTGCCCGGGCTCGGGGGCGGCAAAGAGGGGGATGATGACTAGGGGGCGGTGGATATCATGGCGGGGGCCATGATATCTCCCCAGATTTCGTGGCGCCTCTTCTTGTTTCATTACGTCCCTGGCCCCCCCGCTGTGCCGCGCACGTGACGCCGGCCATGATTTGCACCCCCCCCTCTTGGACACTCCCCTCTTGGCCGCCCCCGACGGGCCATCTGCCCGTCCTCGCCGCGGTGTGCCCGGCGAGCGCTGGCGAGAGCCATCCCTCTGGCGAGCAGCCTGGCGGTCCGCGGCCCCATTTCCGATGATCCCCTCGGCGTGCGTCAGCCCAGCTCCACTTTTTTAGCAAGCGACCTCCATCGGCCTTCGCTGCGTTGCCCGCGCCGGAGCGAAGGGCCTCCACGGACTAGCGCACGCTGGCGCGAACACGCGCTCTGAGGATCATCGGCCCTTCCCTGGGCGGCGCCCCGCCGCGGAGAGGGGAAAAGAGGCGCTGGCTGTCGGGCGGGGGCCTGGCCTGTTTGGGGGCGTCGGAAGGCCTGGGCGATCGTCCAGGCCTCGGCCTCGCTCCTCTTGTCCTCCTCGTCGTCCTCCTCCTCCTCGTCCTCGTTCTCGTCCTCGTCCTCGTCCTCGTCCCCCCCGTGCTCCAGGCGGTGCCCCCCAGTACGTGTCCTCGTCCTCCTCGCCCTCCTCTCCTCCCGCCCCCCCGCTCCCGCATCCCTCCTCCTCACCCCTCCCTCTGGCCCTCTCGCTTCCATCGCCCTCGCCCTCGCTCCCTCCTCCACTTGACAGCGCTCGCGCCCACCCCGAAGGACTGTCACAAATGGCGGCCCGCTCGTAGACTTGGCAGATTGGTCAGTGATCGTCTTCGGCCCCTGCAGTTCATCTTAAGTCGGGCCTGTCCCTCTGCAGGAGGAGTATTCAAAAATAATAAACGAAGAGCCTGGGGACGATTTTCTGTGTATTTTTTTTTGATTGTCTGGGGGTATTCTTTGACTAGTTGTCATTTTTCGTCCAAAATCCCCCTTTAGGAGGACATTAAAGTTAATCACTTCTCCCCGCCCTCCCCCCTCCCTCGCCCTCCCCCCTCCCTCCCGGCGTTCGTCTGGGTCCCGTCCTTGGGTGCCGCGCCCAAGATCTGGAACCTCGGCCTGTGATCCGCCCGCCCGAGATTCGGCCCACTCGGGGGCCAGGGGCGAGCCCGTGGTTCTGCGGCGTCGGTCCTCTTTCGTACAGGCCTTCCAGATGGGGTCCGAGTAAATGGGGTCGGAGGACCGCGCCGCCTCGCCGAGGCATCGGCGATGCGGCTGGATGTGCGGCCCGAGGTTCTCCACGCCGGCGTCGCCGCGGCGCCGCCGACGTCGCCGACGCATCACCGATGTGTCGCCGATGCATCGCCGGTGTATGTTGTCGGTGCGGCGCGATGTCACGACCCCATCTACTCGGAGCATCTAGGAGGCCTCTGGTGGTCGGAAGCGGGAGCGATTGCGTGGCAGGAGCGGGAGCACGGGAGGAGGGGAAGACTCCACGAGCGGCGAACGTGTCCATACCCACGCCCTCGCGGCCCGGATGCTGGGCCGCGATGCCGAGGACACGCGGTCGCACGGATACGTTTCGCGCGGGGCATCCGCGAACACAACGCCTCGTATCTGCGGGGCCGCGGCCCAGGAGCCCGGCCCGCGAGGCCGCGGATACGGGTGTGTTATTCGCCCACGAAGGACGAGGGGAAAGAGCAGAGGCGATGGCGATGATGGCCAGGAGGAGCTGGACGAGCAGGGAGGGGGACGAGGACGACGGCAGCGAAGATGGGGAGGCTCGGCCCGGCTCCCCCTGCGTGGCGAGATCGTGGCTGGCAGCAACAACACACATTCTATGTAGTTTCTGGCGGACCTGAAGATTGCATCTAAAAGGACGTTGGTGGACGCTTCACAGCCTGCAGGGGAGGAGCGGGCGGGGGCGGAGGAAGATGAAGCCAGGGGAGGGGGGACAGAGCCCGGCTTGGCAAGGTTGAGGAGGACTCGGATGTCGCGCCTCCCCCGAGGGCCTTTCGGAACGCGTTCGCCTCTCCACGCGGTGCTCGCCTCGGCGCCGTGGGCCCCGTGCTCGCAGAAAGTTCGACACCTGGCCTCCGTGCAGCACGCCACTGCAGCCGTTCGGCAGCGAATCGGATCGGCCCCTCTTGCCTCCCCTCTCCCCCTGGTCGCATGCGCAGCGCTCGAGGGGCAACGAATGACATGCGCATGCACTCTCGGAGGCCCGCGCGGATTTCTTGGATCGCCGCTGGACGCCTCCGGCGCCGCCCTTGGCTCGCTCCGCGCGCCAGGGAGGGGGTCCAGCACCGATCCAAGAAATCCGCGCGGACCCCCCAAAGTGCATGCGCAGGTCATTTGCTGTTCCTCGACGCGTCTCTGGCGGTCCCCGCTTCACGGTCCGCGCGGCGATGGGTTGCTAACCCCTCAAACGTGCTAGCATACTTTCTCATCGTGGCGACTTCCTATTCCTCGCTCAGCGGGTGTTTCGTCAGTTGCACCCTATTGCTCACGTGTTCAAGTCTTCGAGTTCCTATACCTCCCACCTTGCCCCATAGGATTGTCATAGTTGCTTCCACAAGAAGCCCGCCCGTTGCACCCCCCCCCCCGGCTGCCCGCAAGACCAGGCTGACGGGGAAGCATGCGGTTGAGATCCCGTCCTCCCCACCCCATAGATCCTGTGAGCTGTTATGCAGTGGTTTTGTCGTTTCTGGAATGGGGAGTTCGGGAGCAGATCGGTTTGGCCTGTCTTGGGGCGATCTACGGATGGCGCCCTGTGGTTTACATCACCCTGCTCACACATCGGGAGTGCTAGAACATACCGTTTGGGGTCCGCGCGGTGACATCATTTTTTTTCGCCCGCCCTTCAGGGGCAACGTTTCGGGGGCATAGAGGCCTATGCCTCAGGCCAGGGGGGGACGCATCGACCCCCACTCGCCCGGTGATCGCCATTAAGGGACCCATAGCCAACCCCGCGGAGGAACACGCGGATTCGCTATCGGGGGCCCATCGCCGATCTATCGGCGATGTATCGCCGATTCCGGGTCGATGGTCGCCGCCCCCTGAGCAGGTCCAGTCGAGGGGTCGACCCTTCCAAATCAAGGGTGCCCCTGTGTCATCTATTTCGCGACCAACGTCCTCCGCATCCCCCTGGCAGCGTGCCCCTCCGGAGGCTCTCTGGTGTCCTCTCGCGCGCCCTCTCCACTCGAACTCGACTGTACCCCCCCCGGGATCCTTGCCCCTCCTGCTCGCTCCTCCTCGCTCCTCCTCGCTCCTCCTCGCTCCTCCTCCTCCTCCTCCTCCTCCTCCTCCTCCTCCTCCTCCTCCTCCTCCTCCTCCTCCTCCTCCTCCTCCTCCTCCCCCTGCTCGCTCCTCCTCCTCGCTCCTCCTCGCTCCTCCTCCTCGCTCCTCCTCGCTCCTCCTCGCTCCTCCTCGCTCCTCTTCGCTCCTCCTCGCTCCTCCCCCTCGTGCGAAGCTGGCGCCGCGGGCGCCGCCTCGGCCACGCCCCGTGCCCTCCCCCCCCCCCGCGGCGCTGCGCGCCATGCGCGGGTCCGTGCCCGAGGCGCGGGAGTGGCCGGATGCAGTGGCGCCCCGGCGGGCGCTGCGGGGCCCGGTGCCGCGGAGGGGGTTTGCGGTCCTCGCCCGCGCAGGGGTCAGGAGGTCGGGGGCGGCAAAGAGGGGCGTGATGACTACAGTGGGGGCGCGTGCCAAGAGAGCAGTTGGATTTTGCCGGGGTGCCCTGGGTTTCTTGGACCTCGATGGGTCCCCAATAAGATCTGGATGGTTTTCGCTCGACCAATTTTGACTTCCATTGAACAAATCGCGGATTCCAGGGTTGGGTTTCTTGCGGAGGTTTCTTGTGGTCGAGCCCCCACTGTAGGGGGGGTGGATATCATGGCGGGGGCCATGATGTCTCCCCAGATTTCATTGCGACTCTTCGTATTTCAACGCGTCCCTGCCCCCTCCCCTGGGCCGCGCACGTGCCGTTGGCCATGGTTTGCGTCCACCCCTCTTGGACGCCCCCCTCTTGGCCGCCCCCGAGGAGGGAAACATCGACGCAAACACCAGTCAAAGCAGATTGCACAGGCTTGCACCACATCCGCCAACCCCTTGAACCAGCCGGGGGCCCGATTACGGGGCCATCCTGGCTGTTTCGGACGGCATCCTGGCGGTGTCGAATCTTCCTCATGAGTCGCTTTGGAGGCCATCTTCGGTCGTCTGGGGCCGTACCCAAAGCTCCAAAGAGGCGAAGCCCCTAAGAGGCCCGTACCCAGAGCTCCTCAGAAGCTGCCAAAAGGACTCGCAGGGGCTTCCGAGAAGGCCACGATGGCTCCACGAGATTCCAAAAGGCCCCCAAGAGGCCCCAGGGATCCAGCAAGAGGCTTGAAGAGGTCCAGCGCGGCCATCAAAAAGCCCCTAAGAGGCGCCCCAGAGACCCCATCGAAGCTTCCAAATAGCGCCGAAGACACTCCACAAGGCCCCCGAGAGACCGTTCGGAAGGAGGAGGAGAAGGAGGAGGAGGAGGAGGAGGAGGATACGGAGGAGGAGGTACAACAAGGCTCTGACACACAGCCTGTCCTCAGGCCAGTTGACGAGAAACCAGTCGGCCTCGCGAAGGAAGCCGCCCTATGCCAGTTCGTGTCGCGCAGGTCGCGATCCTCTCTTCGCGCACTGGCCCGCCTTCGGGCGGGCCTCTGGGAATCAGTTACGTTTTTGTAGCCATCGCAGTTGTCGTTGCCGAAGAAGGAGCAGCCGAAGAAGGTTCGGACCCAGTATCGCGCGAAGTGCAACCAGGTCAAAGCAAAACTGAAGTCGCGCAGTGGCAACGCGAAGTGGAACGAGACCGTTGGCACAGTACGGTGCCTGGTGCTTTTTGGAAAGAAGGCGGTAATTCCAGAAGCGCAGAGAAAGCCCAACGCAACCGGAGCAAGGCTCTGTCGGAAATGCACGGGGGATCGGTAGGAGAGCACGCTCGAGTCGAAGAGTCGGAAGAGAATCGCAGAAGCAGAAGCGGTGCCGCTGACATGCTGCTCGCCAGAGTGCGGGAACACCCTGTGGAACACGACGCATCTGAAGCCCGAACAGGTGGAGTAGCACCGGAGAAAGAGAGGCACTGGAGTGGTGCGTGGAGAGCGCGTGACAGGCGGGGCGTAACCGCGAACGGAGTAGCCGATGTGGCGCAGCAGTCGGCGCGCGAACTAACGTACGCGGCGTGCGGGGGAACGTTCTCGGACGCGAGGTATCTGAAGAAGGATCGGCGGCGAACGAGTGGGGGAAGTGAGAAGGAGAAGACCTTCTCAGAAGGCTCGGAAGTCCCCCGGCCTTCTGAGAAGTTTTCGGAGCCTTCCCCGCAGACAGAAAACATCTCTCAGAAGGCGCGAGGGCTTCTGAGGAGTCCCGCCGCCTTCTGAGGAGGCCTTCTCCTTCTCACTTCCCCCCCTCGCTCGCCGCCAAAAGCATCAGGTGGAATCTCATCGAAAGACAAAGCAGGTGCGCGCGGCGCGCGGGGGTTGCAAGGACCTCGGCCTCACAGCGCGCAGTTGGCAGGCACATCGGTGCGGCGGCACGTGCCGAGCAAGACTGACGAAGGCGGCGTTCTCCCCGAGGCGGGCGTGGCCGTCGCGCGCGCCGAGACAAACGTAACCCTGGAGTGCAAGCCATGCAAATCATGCCCGTTCAGGTGACGATTTGAGAGGTCGCCTGGGCACGGGCAGTGCACGCGTCGAACTCCGCGGGGGAGCCAGAAGTGGAGAAGGCGAGAGGGAGAACGAGGACTGAGAGGATGAACAGGAGGAGGAGGAGGAGGAGGAGGAG